GCAAGTTACTTAACCCCTCTGAGCCTCCATTTCCTTAGCTAATAAATAATAAAATATCTTCCTTGCAGTGCTACTGTGGGTTTATGTATCATTTTTATACACACACACACACACACACACACACGAATACGTCTTAGACATTGCCTCACTCATTGTTACAAGTTGCTCATTGTGGCAGTTTTAGAAGAAGCAGTGAAGCAGGTGGTAGCTGGTGGTAAATAAAGCATCCCTAACACAAAAATCCAAAATCTGTAGTACTCCAATGAGCATTTTCTTTGAGCATCATTTTGGCATCCCAGAAGTTTGAGATTCTGGAGCATTTCAAGTTTTCAGATTAGAGATGCTGAACTGGTGTAATGCAGATATTCCAAAATCTCCAAAAATTTGAAATCTAAATTGGGACTAAAACACTTTTGCTCCTAAGCATTTTGAGGAAGGGATACTAAACCTGTAGTATTTGTGAGAATGTTAGCTGTACTTTAAACCCTGGATTGTATGTACCCGTATACACACACAGTTTTTGTAGTTTGACTACAAATTTCTGCAAGTTTTCTTTGGATGGTGGTAAAAGAAGTGACCTTGAGTGTTTCCTAATGAATGGAAGAGTTGAAGTATAGAATGAAATGAATATAAAGGAGCTTGATTTTAGGGATTCAACTTAGCAAATAAATATTGTGCCTCTTGATACATGGAACTTAACAGAACATTATGGAGATACCAAGGTGATATAAGATGGGATTCTTCTTTAGTGATAGTAACCCCCCATTTGTAAGCAAAATATTCTATTTGTACTTCACATTTACAGATTGTTTTAGCAACATGGGAGTGGGATTTCATATGGACTTGTCAGTCGTGATTGAATTTCACCCCATTCTTTGTGACTTCCATGGAGGCAAAAAGCTTTCTTTAGTCTTCAGTTCTTTTTTATTTTCCTGAGCTTAATAAATCAGCTTCTTCTATTTTAGTCATTGACACATTTAAGATTTCGTTTCTGCCCTTCTCCCCCATAGCTGTGTCTGAAACAGCTTTCTTGGCACAATTTTGGTTCAAATCAAAATCAACACCAGAAACAAATTCAACCTAACAGACAAGTAAAATCATTTCATGTTTTAAAAATATCTGTTCAGTTGCTCTTTTAACAGATATGAGACAATATGGCACCTTCAAAGTGAAACAGATCACTAGATATCAAGGAGAGAGAAAAACTCTTGACTGTGGGGTTGCTATAAAATCTTGTCACTTATGGCCAAAGTCAATCTGAATTAAGATTCCCTAAAGAATTACATCAACAGGCTAAAATCAAATGTCCAATCAGAACAAGTAATGAAATATGAAATATTATGAAATAATTGCTTAGGATGAGAAAAACTGATGGTTCATCTTGGTAGAGGCTGTCTAAATCTAAACAATACCCACTCCTTCTCACCAAAGGAAGACGACATCCCTAACATAGTAGAGTCCAAAAAACCATCTGCTACCGATCCTGAGAGATGCTGAAAATCTAATTTGCTGATCAGGACAGCTTTGATCTGGCTCAGGGCCTGGTGTCCTTTCCAGTTTCCATCACTCTGATGGGCACAAATGATATTTTCTTGAGCAATCTGAGAAGTTCTTTGGAGAAAAATTCTGTTTCTGATTTGTGTAGTGAATTGGGAGAATTTGGAGCCTGTGCCATCAGGATTTAGACCAAATTCTGAAACATTCTTTAAAATGGAATGTAAAGTGAAAGTGCTTGCATGTAGAATCTCTGTACTCCCTGCCCCATGTAGTGGGCCGACCTTTGAATGCAATTTGCCTTTAAATTACACTGTCAGATCCTATATGCATGTGTTGTGATTAATGGGGAGATTCCATGTGGTTCCAGTTTTCATAACATCATTTTTCTTCAAGATTGCCTGCTCTTTGGTGGTCTTTGCCTTTTATTTCTAAAGATAGACACAAAAACTCTGATTCTGTGGCTTCTCTTACTGATGAAAACCCTTCCCTAGATCTTTCCAGTAATTTACACCAAAATATTGCCACCTCTGATAGTAACTTCCTCTTGAAATGACCCAGCTGGAATTACCATTTCAAGCAGGATGAGAAGGGAGTGCGGATGTTTTTGTTTCTTTTCTCCCCATTCCTTTTAACTTAAAGGAGTAATCCTTTCCCTCACCTTTCTCCTCCACCCTATCCAGCCCTACTCACCAGTCTCAAGTTTCATTTAAAGTTATTGAAAAAAATTATAACACAATGGGGATTTGGAATTACACAGACTTGCCTACATTAATAGCATTTAACACTTCATTGGTGTTTATATATAAATGTACTAAGTAGCTTTATATTAAAGCATATGTTGTATGCATAGATACCTGGTCACTATACAGACGGAGCATATTGCTATTGCAAACATAAGATCATAAAACTGTGCTCGTTCACATTTGAGGTTGGCTGAAGGTGGTTATTTATTAGACTCAAAAATGTTGCACACACTTGAAGTGTTTATTCTGGATTTGTTTCTGTGCATTAAAAGTGTCTGGTGCAGCTGAAGAATAAGCAAGGAGAGCCAAGTGGGAAAACATCATGAAAAATCTTGAATCCAGGCACCAGTCATTAAAAAAAACAAAACTTGGACGAAGGAATGTGACCATGGGGTGGAGTAAATAGAAATAATGCAGGAAAGGCCATCTCAAAAACAGCAGATCTGGACACCTGGAAACAAGCTGCTTCGGGTGTGTTCATGCATTGACTTAGGGACCAGGGCTTTGGAAAATTAGGCTGAAAAATCACCCATGATTTCAATTAAGGCAGCAATCCCTTTTAACAATCCAACAAGTCCTCTTCTGGAATTATCGATTTGAAAGAGAAGAAAACGGGATCTCAGATTTCTGCACCCCCATGTGCATTTTCAGCCTTATTCACAATAGCTGAACCACCCACGTGTCCATCAACAGATAAATGGATAAAGAAAAATGTGGCGTAATGGAATATTTTCAGCCTTATATAACAAGGAAATCCCATCATATGCTACAATATGTATAAACCTCGAGGGCATTATGCTACATAACATAATCTTATTATGAAAAGACAAATACTGTAGATTCCACATGAGGTATGTAGAGGAATCATACACATAGCAATAGAAAGAAGAATGGTGGTTGCCAGGAGGTTATGGGGAGGGAGAATGAGGAATTGTTCAGTGGGCACAGAGTTTGAGTTCTGCAAAATGAAAAAGCTTAGTGATATTGTACAAGCTTTTACATACAGTTAACAACACTGTATACATAAAACTTGTTCAGAGGGTAAATTTATATGTTTTTTAACACATAAAAAAATGCGTTTTTAAAGTCAACAATGAAAAGTCCAGACAGTTCCTTAACACAGAAGTAGGTGGGGCCCTATTTACTCAAACATTCTGCAAGCATCAGATGTAGAGGTTCAGTAGATGGCTTCAGGATTCCTGTACACCTTTCATTCATTCAGGAAAATGTAGTGAAAGGTTTGACCCCTTCCCCCACCACCATATCTATGTAATTCTGTAGATCTTTGTTCACTCTTTCACTTCTTTTATATCAGAACCCAAGCCTTTCTAGTACAGATAATCTGATAATAGTGTAGTCAAAAGAAACAAAGGACAGTAAGAACTTAGGGTCTCATGTGAAACTAAATCAGCCAGAATGCCTATCTAGATCCACGAGAGGTCATAAAAGAGTCCACTTAGACATCTTTGTGTGACATAGAATAACCTAAGGTAAAGTTTGTCTCTAAGGAGCTATACAGCACGTTGTTCCTGTGAAGATCAAATTTCTTTCCAAACCAAATTTAACTAATTTTCACACTCCTCTTGAAGCAAGCACTTTGAGGGACAAGGCTTTTTTTTTCAACCACCTGGACCCCCCTTTCACCTTTCTGCTGACCTTTCATGACAGTTTTCTTATAAGTAGTATACTTGCCTCGAAGCCAAAGACAGCTTTACTAATAGTCTTCCAATAACTTCAATGAGACTACTAACTCCTCACAGCCTTCTCCACTCCCCCAGAGGTGATACTATCCCCAAGAGGGCAAAAATGAATTCTTGTCCAAGAGGGAGGATTTTAAAAATCTTAGAGCTATTGTAATGGTTTCTAGAATCATGTTTCATAGTATTGGAGGAGAAATTAAATTTAATGTATTTTTTTCCTGAGTTAGAAAAATAATGAAACAAAGGTTGAGAAACTTTGCCTTTGCTGGATGGTAATATTATTCCCATCACAGCTGAAGTGAACTGGATTTAAGCCAAGAGGATTCAAATGACCTAGTTCTCACATTATGATTAAAAAATAAAATGGAGAAATAGTTAATCTTCTCTAACATATAAGCGTACACTTAGCGCTGTAATTGCATATCAAGTACGCTGGCTTCAGCCTTATTTTTAGTATCCATGTTATGTCTTTGAGGAAGTCTTGGTTCATCCATGGAACATTTCTATTGATTCTAGAAACAGGTCCACAACCAATGGTTCTTTCTATGGCAGAACATACTTTTGGCTTGAAATCTGTGGTTCCCCAAGGTAACAACAGTGCTGGGCTGCAGGGACTGTGTACTTTTATTCCATATGTTACCCAATGCCTGCTCAGTGACTAGATTTAATACAATGCGTTTGATTATTTTTAAATATTGGGGCAAGGAAAGAGCTTCAGTTTTAACCAAAACTGGAAGTAGGGAGAAGCAAGCAAGCTGCTTCCAGAGCAGAATTTAAGGAGGTACTTGCACGATCTTTCTGTTTTCATCCATAGGCTAACCCTGGTTTTGACCCTGATTTTAACAGTAATGGAGTTTAGTGTTCAAACCCTTCCCTTTTCAGAGTTGATCTACGCAGGCAATTCTCTGGAAGTGATATGATTTACAGGAGTGTAGGAACAAGGAATTTAAAACAAATAATTAACATATACGCCCATTCCATTTTTATAAATATATTTCTTCCTACTTGCAGGTGACTCACATTGGCCTCAGAGATCTAAACTTTTCACTTTGTCTTCCAGATCACTACAGATCTGAGGCAGCGTTGCACAGACAACCACACTGGGACGTCAGCCTCAGCCCCCATGGCTGCAGGCATCATTGCACTGGCGCTGGAAGCCAAGTAAGCCTTGATCTCTATATGCCTTCACTGGTGACAACCCCGATCTCAGGGAAAACTTACCCCTTCCCTTGTATATGGCCCCTAGCATGACAACCTAGAGTATAATCTTCCCAATCTCACCTTTAAAACTTCAAAGATTTGGGCTTAAAAAAAAATATCTCCCTTATGTTAAGAAGATGATAAGGTTTTGGTTTTACATGCTTAAAAAAAATCAAACTGTGTAATGACTTGGTTATGGAGTCATAGTGCACACATGCCAGATGGCTCCAACACTCTTGCCTTGTTGAGGTTTTTATTCTAGTCTGGGAATTTTCCTGAGGGTCCCAGAGAGGTCAGGTCTGCTCATTTCTGGTCCCTTTCTCTGAGGGACAACTAGGCAGCTCAGATTCCACAACAATAGTACAGTCACAGACTGGCTCTGCAGAATAAAATATGCCAGGGACAAGGACCACCCACTTATCTCCAATCCTGTTTAATATAGGCAAATTCTAAGTCAAAAAGATTACTGTGAAAGACCCTTTCAGGTTCCTTGTAAATAGGTCCCCATCTCTTTTTTGACTAAAAACAAATAGGTTAATTTGTCTTAACTTTTTGAAAACCTAATAATACAGATCTAAAATTCCTTGTCCTCAATTTTAAAATCCAAAATGCCAGGAAAACTGAATGTTCTTTTGCAAATTTAACACTAGAATTCATTTTTTGGCAAAGTTTGCCATAAACTCACTTGAGGCTATTTATAATATTTATAAAATTCATTGTGAAATATTCATGTATTTGATTGTGAGGTGCTGGCCCAGACCTTGCTGGAGATTTTGTGTCCATAAATGTTATGGGTACCAGCTCAGAGAAAATTTTGAATTCCAAACATGTCTTGTCCAATTTTAGAATAGGGATTGAAGGCCTATTCTCAGAGGCTCTCCCTGCAGGAGGGTCATAAGAAAAAGGAACTGAACTAATGACATAAGCGGTTTTCTCAAATTAGCCTTGCACCTCTGCCCTAGGGAGGAAGGGAAAGGCCTGTTCGTCTGGCTGCATCCTGACGTAGAACAATAGCCAGTGACAGGGAAGGAATACAAGGATAATGAAGAGGCTCAGAGATTTCAGTGAGAACCATGCTAGTTCATTATCAGGACGCAGGTAGTTTCCCAGGGTTCACAGCTGCCCTCTGTAAGACAGAGAGCCTATGTTAAGGCAGTTGGACCTGAATGTAACATGGATACAGTAAATTGCTAAGTCATGTGTTGAACTGAAACTGGGCAAAGGATGCAGGCTCTGGATATGGTGCCCTGTCTCTCGATGGCTTGTTGCCTAAGTCTTGACATTGAGAGACATTCAAGCCCCCATGAACATTTGAATTTCTTTCTTTTTGACAAGGTTAAATATGAAGTCATTTTCAACATAGTATATCTTTTAAGGTGTTAAAAATTTGGGTTTAGCAAGGAACTGGCACTTATCCTATTAAATTCTCACTTCGCAACTTTTCACTGAAGTGTTCTGGTAAAAGAAGTCTCAATTAAATATCTGCGTTTTTAATTTGGTGAACTCTACCCAGAACTTTTACAAACTATATTGTTTTAGTTATGAAATTCTAGGTTGTTTCTCTGGAATATGTTTCTGTCCACAAAATATTAAAAGAAAAATCATCAGGAATTCCTCTACTGTGCTCCCTCACAAAGCTATCTCAAACTCAAACTTGGCAACCTGATACTGTAACTGTTGCTACATAGAATTAGGTGATACTCAGTTCTTTGAGATATTACTAAAACACTATTATTTTTTAAAAGCAGTTCTTTTAATCACGATTTAAACTGAAATGCAAAAATCTTGCTTTATGGTCAAATAGCCTGAGATGAGATCACTTTGGACTGCATAACACATTGAAAGACTACAATTTTTTTTTCTTTTCATTTTGAGCATTTTTAAAGATCTATTTTTGCCAAAACTGTGAGGAGTGGAAGGAAGTTCCTAACATACAGGCTACCTAAAAAATCCACTGTGTTTTAAGATGTTAACAGTCTCTCCAACTGTGGGTACAAAATGGTAAACTATCTGATAAACTGAGGAAGAATAAACCTCTTTTTTGTAACTCCATTGATTTGTTGTACAGGCCAATCTTTGCCTGCAAATAAAGCTGAAAATTATGGGAAGAGATCTGAGTACCAAAAGGGTGGGTCAGATATTGATGTTAAATTAGCATCAACAAGCATCGCCCCTCCAGCTTAGTGTGAAACGTATCTAAAACTAAGAAACTGCAGATAGGAGCTCTAATAACTCTCTCAGTGCATAAAGGCTGCAGTTGCTGTAAAGCTAAACCTAATCCTTGTAAATGTGCATTGCTCATTTACTCAGCCTCACCCCTTGCAATCTCCTCTTACACTGTTAATTCTCAACAGCACTTGAACATTGGTATTTTTGAGATTCAGCCTTTACTATCACAAGTTAAGGAGCCAGATCTAGAAGGTAGTGTCTTTTAAGAGGAGAGGAGAGAAAGCCACAGCTCTAGGTTGAGTTATGACTCAGGACACTGCCTTACTTGCTGGATATGCGTAGCCAGTCAGAGTTCGTTCAATAACTGGATAGGCTGAGCCTTCAGATGAAAAGCTGCAACAATCCGCCAGTTCCTATGTAAGTGCGTGTCCTAGCTATCCCTGTACTATCAGGAGAAATTTATTATTTCTCTGACTATCACTAGATTACTGTATTTACTCAGTCATAGGAACATTAGAGAAAACTAGATTTTAAGCTTTTCCCCAGCCTGCTTTCCTTACACTCCAGATGTCTGCCTGCATGGGTAGGACTGTGGTTCCCTCTGTGATGCTGCTTCTACCATTGGCCTCTCTGCCACTTGAAAACCTTCCCAGGAAACTAAGAGAAAAGAAAACGAATACACCCCATAGTCCTAGGTACTGGGAGACTGAGGCAGGAGGATCCCTTGAGCCCAGGTGTTCAAGGCTGCAGTGAGCTATGATCACACCATTACACTCCAGCCTGGGCAACAGAATGAGACCTTATCTCAGAAAAAAGGTTGTGGGGGATGAATAAAAATAAGTGAAATGAAACACAAAACATAGAAACAGAAAAGCTTAAAGTATCCAGATCTCTTATCCAAATGTGACAAGTTTGATCATGAATAACTTTGCTATGGCCAGGCGAGTGGCTCACACCTATAATCCCAACACTTTGGGAGACTGAGGCAGGCAGATCACCTGAGGTCAGGACTTTCAGAGCAGCCTGGCCAACATGGCAAAACCCCATCTCTACTAAACACACAAAAATGAGCCAGGCATGGTGATGCGCACTTGTACTCAGAAAGCTGAGGCAGGAGAATTGCTTGAACCTGGGGGACAGAGGTTGCACTGGACGGAGATCATGCTGCTATACCCCACGCTGAGTGCCAGAGCGAGACTCTGTCTCAAAAAAAAAAAAAGAAAAAGAAACAAATTTGCTGTAACAGCTAGTAGGACTCTCGGGCCATCCTTTGCCTACAGGATACATAAGAATATGTGTTACAACCAATTCCACTCTATTGTGCTCCCAGATACTGGAATGAAATTATTCTGCTCCCAAGACTACAAGAATTCTCAGTTCCTCTGAAAGTCTTCCTTTTTTTTAAACCTTTTTTCCTGGGTTTGAGCCTCTTTGGTTTGGGTTGTGTTGAGCCCTACAGCCACCTTGAGACAGTCTCATCATAAGTCTTGCCTTTCTGATAAAGTAGGAGATTGCTTCCTTGTTTTTAAAAATGCTTCTAAAAATTATGGAAATTTCAGAATGAGAGAAAATACTGTAATCTTAGAGAGGAGAAAAAACTTTTTGTGTTGTGGTACCTCAGAACATTCTTGTTAGTTCAGAAGGTTTAATAGTATTTTGATTTTTTTTTAATTTTGTGGATTTTTTAAAAATTGTACTTTGAGCTCTGGGGTACATGTGCACATCTTGCATCCTACAGGATTGTTGCATTGGTACATACATGCCATAGTGGTTTGCTGTCTCTCTTCCTCCACCCCCCGTCACCTACATCAGGCGTTTCTCCCAGTGTTATCTCTTCCCATCCTCTCCATCCTCTGCTGTCCCTACCCTCCCCTCCCTGCCAGCCCCCAACCTCGCCCAGTGAATATCATTCTCTTCCCTGTGCCCAAATATTCTTATAGTTCATTGCCCATCTATGAGTGAAAACATGCAGTGTTTGATTTTCTGTTCTTGTGTCAGTTTGCTGAGAATCATGGTTTCTAGATTCATCCATGTCTCTACAAAAAACACAAACTCGTTTTTTTTTATGGCTGCATAATATTCCATGGTGTATATGAGCCACATTTTCTTTGTCCAGTATATCAATGATGGGCATTTGGGTTGGTTGCAGGTCTTTGCTATCATAAACAGTGTGTCAGCAAACATACATGTGCATGTGTCTTTATAATAGAATGATTTATAATCCTTTGGGTATATACCCAGTAATGGGATTGCTGGGTCAAATGGAATTTCTATTTCTAGATTCTTGAGGAATTGCCACACTGTCTTCCATAATGGTTGAACTAATTTACACTCCCACCAACAGTGTAAAAGTGTTCCTGTTTCTCCACATCCTCTCCAGCATCTGTTTTCTCCAGATTTTTTAATCATCACCATTCTAACTGGCATGAGATGGTATCTCAATGTGGTTTTGATTTGCATTTCTCTAATGACAAATGATGATGAGCATTTTTTCATATGGTTGTTGGCTGCATATTTGTCTTCTTTTGAAAAGCGTCTGTTCATATCCTTTGCCCACCTTTGAATGGGTTTGTTTGTTTTTTTCTTGTAAATCTACTTTAGTTCTTTGTAGATTCTGGATATTAGATTAGTCCTTTGTCAGATGGGTAGATTGCAACAATTTTTTGCCATTCTGTTGGTAGCCAGCTCACTCTAATGATTGTTTCTTTTGCTGTGCAGAAGCTCTTAAGTTTAATTAGATCCCATTTGTCTATTTTGACTTTTGTTGCCGGTGCTTTTGGTGTTTCAGTCAT